AGAGATGACTTTCAGCCCATGAATTCTTACTCCAGAGCCCACCTTACCCTTACAGTATATTGCCTCATGCTACACAACTATAGGAAATGGATTTGTCATAGGGAAATAACACGTGTGTTCTGTTGACCAGTACTGGATGGGGGACTGGGGTATTCCCTTTATGAGACAGCCCTCTTTAGTTGAGGCAATTCTGAAGGTGGTTGGCTGATCACTGAGAAGTGTCTGCTGACAGCACTCCCAGCAGCTGGGGGAATATGTCACTCATTCCTGAAGAGGGATCTGGGTGGCACACCACAGCATCCACTACTCATGCACGACATCATACTCCCTTCCTGTGCCTGTGGCTGAAATATAAACTGACTACAGTTTGCTTTATCAATAAGTCCGGATATATTTTTCTAATCTTTTAAAAAATGCACCAATCCAGGCATTGTTTGTTTCTGAGACGGAGTCTTGCTCTGTCACCCAGGTTGGCGTGCAGTGGCACTATCTCGGCTCACTGAAACCTCTGCCTCCTGGGTTCAAGCGATTCTCTTGCCTCAGCCTCCTGAGTAGCTGGGATAATAGGCGCCTGCCACCATGCCCAGCTGATTTTTGTATTTTTAGTAGAGACGGGGTTTCACCATGCTGACCTGGCTGGTCTCGAACTCCTGACCTCGTGATCCACCTGCCTTGGCCTCCCAAAGTGCTGGGATTACAGGTGTGAACCCCCGTGCCCGGCCAACATACAATGTTTTAAGGTTTAATTGGTGGGGAGGCGGGGCAGGCGTCCCAGCTACTCAGGAGGATGAGGTGGAAGGATTATTTGAGGCTGGGAGGTGGAGGTTGTGGTGAGCTGTGATCACACCAGTACACTCAAGCCTGGGTGACAGAGTGAGACCCTGTCTCATGAATAAATACATTAAATAATTATAAATATTTCGTTGGGGGGTAAGCATCTGTTATAGGGCAGCAGGTGCAGGAATTTTGTGTTTGGATGAAGTCATCTTTAAAGGCAAAAATCGGCCGGGCAAGGTGGCTCACGCCTGTAATCCCAGCACTTTGGGACGCCGAGGGTGGATCACGAGGTCAAGAGATTGAGACCATCCTGGCCAACATGGTGAATCCCCGTATCTATTAAAAATACAAAAATTAGCTGGGCGTGGGGGCACGCGCCCGTAGTCCCAGCTACTTAGGAGGCTGAAGCAAGAGAATCACTTGAGCCCAGGAGGTGGAGGGTGCAGTGAGCCGAGACTACACCACTGCACTCCAGCCTGGCGACAGAGCGAGACTTGTCTCAAAAATAAATAAATAAATAAATAAAGGCAAAAATTATGTCATTCACTTCTCCTACATAATCTTTCTGACCCCTTTTCTTAAGCCCACAACACAATTTCACATATATTGTCTTCAGTATATTTTGATCCATAAAAAGTTTGGCACGCTGGAATTGGGCAGAAAAATTGATTATTTTATAGTTTATTCCTCAATATTTAGGACATTTGGTAGGACTAGGTTAGAGAAGGTGGCAGCTCATAGAAATAAGAAATACATAGATAGGTAGGCAAGATTCCTTCTATTGCTAATGAAAAAAACCTAACTTAAACTAGCTTAAGGAAAAAAATTATGGCCAGGTGGGGTGGCTCAGCACTTTGGGAGGTTGAGGCGGGCGGATCACGAGGTCAAGAGATTGAGACCATCCTGGCCAACATGGTGAAACCCCGTTTCTACTAAAAATACAAAAAATTAGCCAGGCATGGTGGTGGTCCCCTGTATGTAGTCTCAGCTACTCGGGAGGCTGAGACAGGAGAATGGCGTGAACCCGGGAGGCAGGGCTTGCAGTGAGCCAAGATCATGCCACTGCACTCCAGCCTGGGCGACGAGCGAGACTCCGTCTCAAACAACAAAACAAAACAAAAAATACAAAAAATTAGCCGGGCATGGTGGCATGCGCCTGTAATCCCAGCTACTTGGGAGTCTGAGGCAGGAAAATTGCTTGAACCCAGGAGGCGAAGGTTGCAGTGAGATGAGATCATGCCACTGTACTCCAGCCTGGGTGAGAGTGAGACTCTGTCTCACCAAAAAAAAAAAAAAAAAAAAAGAAAGAAAGAAAGAAAGAAAAAACCCCATTATTTGTCTATGATTGGCTGGGCATGGTGGCTTATGCCTTAATCCCAGCACTTTGGGAGGCCTAGGCAGGAGGATCACCTGAACTCAGGAGTTCAAAATCAGCCCAGGCAACATGGCAAAACCCTGTCTGAACAAAAAAATACAAAAATTAGCTGGGCGTGGTGGTGTGCACCTGTAGTCCTAGCTACTTAGGGGACTGAGGCAGAAGGATCATTTGAACTGGGGAGGTCAAGACTGTAGTGAGCTGAGATCTGAGATTGAGCCACTGCACTCCAGACTGGTGACAGAGCAAGACCCCATCTTTTGAAAAACAAAATAAAACAAGAAAACCCACAAGAAACATTATTTATCTACGATTACACTGCCTTTACAGTTATATGGTATTTATGTCTATACTTGATAACATATCCTAAAACACAGGAATGGACTTTTAAAAAATAAGTTTTAGAAGCTTTAGATCTACAGAAAAATTGTGAAAATAGTAGAGTTCCCATATATCCCACACCCAGTTTCCCCTACGTTAGTATGGTGCATTTGTCACAATTAATGAACCAGTACTGATATATTATTATTAACTAACATGCATACTTTATTCAGATTTCCTTAGTTTTTACCTAATGTCCTTTTCATGTTCCAGGATCCCATCCAGGATACATTTAATCAAAAAGTCTCCTTAAGCTTCTTTTGGCCATGAAAGATTTTCCAATTTTCCTTGTTTTTGATGACCTTGACAAGTTCGAGGAATACTGGTCAAGTATCTTTCAGAATGTCCTTCAACTGAGATTTGTCTGACGTTTTTCTCATGAGTAGACCAGGGTTATGAGTCTTTGTGAAGAAGACCACACAGAGTGCTACAATCATCATATTGTATCACCAATACATACTATCAACAGGACATCACTGTTGATGTTAACTTCCATTACCTGGTTTAAGGAATTGACTTTTACCTTAATTTGTTTAATGCCTAACTCAGAACTACCTATGGGAGGGCACTTAAACACTGTCTTAATATCTGGATTGTATTCACTAGGAGGAACACCTTGATGAGACAACCATCAAAATGGAAAAAAAAATCCTCTAGGGAAGAGTGGAAAGAGGACTGGTCATCTCTGCCATTTACTACATAAAAGACTTTCAGCAAGTTACCTCTGTATCTGTAAAATGGAATAATGGTTCCCAATAGTTCTACTAAACATCTATTGAGAAAATGTGTGTTTTGTACAATATTTATACTTTTAGATTTGCCTATGTAAAAATGAAAACACTCGTGGGAACAGTAAATATCAAGTAGTTAACATTACTTTATAGAACAATTTTCTTTCTTTTCAGACGGAGTCTTCTTACTCTGTTGCCCAAGACGGGGTGCAATGGCACGATCTCGGCTCACTGCAACCTCTGCCTCACCGACTCATGTGATTCTCCTGCCTCAGCCTCCCGAGTAGCTGGGGCTACAGGCGTGAGCCACCGCGCGCCTGGCCTAGAATAATTTTCTATTGCTGGTTGAGCAGAGCAAGGCCAATATGAACTGAGGAAAGCAGAGATGGGAAGGCTCATTATAGTTAATGATTTCCCATTTTTGCTTTGCTTCCTTTTGCCAAAGTCTGCTTGTCATCTGAGAGTCGAGGGGATTTCTTAGATCTTATGAAGCCAGAGCTCATGTCTGGTGTGAACCAAGTATTAATAATTTTGGTATTGTTTTTCTGTACTGCATCTGAGAGAGTATTGTTCTTTGAAGGTGCAATAATTCTTCTACGCTACTACGGGACTTAGGGAATTAATTTTTGAGGATAGGAAGCACAGAATAATTATTCAAAGATGACAAGTCTTCCTGCCTCAAAATCATATCTCTCTCTGATTTGAATAAAAATACCAAGGTTTTTCCGTTCTTGAGGTGATATACTCATGGAAGTTCTTCAACCTGAGGTCTGAAAAATAAGGCAACCTCATCTTCTCCTTAAACAGGTTAGAGCCAGTAACTTTTTATTTTTCTATGCACGGACAAAAGAATTATACAGAAAAAACAAAAGAGGCGGGGGCTTTTTTTTTTTTTTTTTTTTTGCGTTACTGAAATTCACACTTAACATATAAACAGCCTGCTATATGCAGACAGCAATGGTGTTTAGAGCCCAATGATCTGGATTCACGCCTATTTAAAACCAGATATGAGAAAGTTCCCAAACATCTTTGTGTCTTGGATTCTTCAACTGTAAAACTGCGTTGTTGAGAAGATGAGACTAGGTGCGCAAAACAATTTGTTAGAGCTACTATTTCTAACCCAGAATGTGTTCGCTGTCAGTAACAGCGCATTAGTTACGATTCATCGAAGGCAGCTTCTGGACTTTCTGTTTGGAAGCCCAGCTGAGGCAAAAGCAGCGGTGCGTTTAAAAACTGGAGCTCGCCACATTCTGAAATTCTTTCGGTTCGCGAAAGCAGTAACCTTGGAAACGAGACTGGCACCACCCCTTTCAGTCCTAAAGCTTGGTTTCTCCCGCTTTTCTCCATTATGTTTAGGGCATCGCTATTTTACGGTCTTTTTGTTTTTTCTTTCCACATCATTAGCACAAAAGAGAAATTCCCCTTCTACAGAAGCAAGTACAAAACCTTTCTAGTTGCCCCTTTTTGGCTGCAGCTCACCTACTATTTTTTTCTATTCCGCGGTCTCAGCCCCAGACGTCCTCAAAGACAAATATTTTCGCGAGGGTCAGTGTAGGGCAGGAACTCCCTAGACCTTGAATCAAGGGAATCCAGTAGGTAAGAACAGAAAGGACTCCGACCCAGGTACCTGAGACATCTGAGACCGCATACGTTAACACAACCACCTACGTGACAGAGAAAAATCTCGCGAGAGAGGACTGCAGGGAGACGAGATGAAGCAACGTTCTCGCGACAAGAGTGGGTGTCGGCGGAAACTCGGAAATGGTCCCCTAGACGACTCGGCCCCAGCCAGTGGGTGGGGCCAGAGTAAGTCTGCCCCCTTCCGGTTTTTTCCCCGCCTCCCAACCGTGAGGTGTTGGGTTCGGGGCGCGGGCAGCTGGGTTCTCCCGGTTCCCTCTGGCAGGTGCGGGGTCGAGTTCGAAGCCTCCGGAACGCGTTTTGGCCTGATTTGAGGAAGGGGGCGGGGAGGGACCTGCGGCTTGCGGCCCCGCCCCCTTCTCCGGCTTGCCGCCGACGGATAAGCCCGCCTCCTCCCTCGGCCGGCCCTGGGGCCGTGTCCCCCGGGTAACTCCAGCCGAGGCCTGGGCTTCTGCCTGCAGGTGTCTGCGGCGAGGCCCCTAGGATACAGCCCGATTTGGCCCCATGGTGGGTTTCGGGGCCAACCGGCGGGCTGGCCGCCTGCCCTCTCTCGTGCTGGTGGTGCTACTGGTGGTGATCGTCGTCCTCGCCTTCAACTACTGGAGCATCTCCTCCCGCCACGTCCTGCTTCAGGAGGAGGTGGCCGAGCTGCAGGGCCAGGTCCAGCGCACCGAAGTGGCCCGCGGGCGCCTGGAAAAGCGCAATTCGGACCTCTTGCTATTGGTGGACACGCACAAGAAACAGATTGACCAGAAGGAGGCCGACTACGGCCGCCTCAGCAGCCGGCTGCAGGCCAGAGAGGGCCTGGGGAAGAGATGCGAGGATGACAAGGTAAGGACGACCCCTTTCTCTTCAACCCCCATAGTTTCTTTTTTGTCCGGGGTCTGGGGCGGGATGTTAATCCGCTAGCGGTTGTCTTATCCCTTCCAATATTGCAGTCCTGAAGGCTCCTTTCACCCCCAACAACCCTGTTTCTGTCAGACTTTTCCCGGTTTATCAGTGCCATGTTCTCTGGTCCCTGCCAGACAAAAATGACTGTAAATTCTGGTTCTCAAGAGTGGGCTGTGTGCAGATGCTGCCTATTCTCTGAGCTCAGCTGGTGAGCTGTCAATAGTAATCATCTGGCCTATGTGGCCCCCTTAGCTTCAAAGACACACAAATCTGGCGACTGCCAGGTTTGGTGTGGTTATTGTCTCATTTTTATTCCGTGCACACTGAACAATATTAATTTCGTTATTTAAAGAACGAAGCTGCCCCCGACTCCTCTACCCTATGGTAGTCACCATATATTTTTTCAGCTGTGTAACTTTTAAAATCTCTACAGGGTGATGTATTGAATAAATAATGAGCTATGACTGCCTTTTTGTGATCAAAATGTTATGATAGATGGGCCCTCGAGCTATATGTGAGCCACACTTGTGTCTTGGACATAGTTGATCAATCATTATGTACTCAGTTGGAATTGTTAATGGAATTAGCCAAAAGATTAGAATCTAAAAATAAATTTTAAGCAATGGAATGTCATGTCAGTGTCTTCATTGAAAGAAAATAGAATGAAATTTTGTATAGCTAAGTAGCTATTAGGGTTGGTGTTTTATGCAGATGGAAAACTATACAAAGTTTTAAATATAAAAAGTTTAAAATTGAACTGTAATCATACTTGCTACTAAATCCTTGTTTTCATTAGCTCATTGGTAACTATATTAATAATTTATGACTTATGCAACTTCTGTAGATATAGTAGAGTTATGAAAATTTCTGGGCAGGATAGTAGATGCCTTTCTTTCTATACACTTCTTTGGTAATCTTCACATTTTTGTGTGTAAATGCCCATTATAATTACAAATTTTACTTTGCATATGAAAATCACTTACGGGTAAGTCATTATGAACTCTCTGTGAGCTTCTAACATTCCTGTTGACAGCCTCTACTTTGCTTTCTTATTTCAGGAAGATTAAGGCCCTCAGCTAAGTGCCTCCCTATAACCCCCTCCTCTTCACCATAATAACATAGACATGCTCTGATAGGGTCAAGGAATCAATAAATTTATATGCGCTACATGCTTAACTCTAAAGACTGAAAAACTCTTGGGCACAGTAGGTAGAAATCCATGAAAGGTTGCAGTATTAAAATAAGGTCTTCCTACTTAGAATGGTTAAGCATTACAATTCACATTCTTCTCTCTGGTCTCAAAGGAAAGTCTCTTGTAGTAATTAATACTCTTGATTCTATTCTTTCAGCCATTGGACTTTGTTTGTTTGTTTTGAGACGGGATTTTGTTCTTGTTGCCCAGGCAGGAGTGCAATGGCGTGATCGCAGCTCACTGCAACCTCCGCCTCCCAGGTTAAAGTGATTCTCCTGCCTCAGCCTCCCGAGTAGTTGAGATTATAGCCATGTGCTACCACATGTGGCTAATTTTGTATTTTTAGTAGAGAAGGGGTTTCTCCATGTCGGTCAAGCTGGTCTTGAACTCCCAACCTCAAGTGATCCACCCACCCCAGCCTCCCAAAGTGCTGGGATTACAGGCATGAGCCACCACGCCCAGCCTTTTTTTTTTTTTTTTTTAAGAGATGAGTTAATGGGTGCAGCACACCAACATGGCACATGTATACATATGTAACAAACCTACACGTTGTGCACATGTACCCTAAAACTTAAAGTATAATAAAGAGAAAAAAAAGAAAAAAAAAAAGAGACAGGGTCTCACTGTGTTGCCCAGGCTTGAGAGCAGTAGCTCTTCACAGGCATGATGCATTACAGCATTGAACTCCTGAGCTCAAGTGATCTTCCTGCTTCAGCCTCTGAGTAGCTGGGACTGCAGTTGTGCACCACCTTGCCCAGCTCTACTGCACTGTCAGTCTCAGTTTGTTTCACTTTTTACCTTCAACAGGATGTGGGTGTCCCCTGTTCTAAGTAAAGAAAAAAAAATCTATATATTCCTTTCTTCCAATCAACACATTTGTTTTTTCACTTTCGTTGCTAAAGTCAAATTATCGATGGTCTACAAATGTTCCATCTACCTCTTTTTTCGTACCCATCCTAATCTTAAAAAGTCTGCCATCTTTCTTTCCTCTCCTTTTCTGCAACTATTATCTTGAAGGTCACAAATGGCGGTATTCCTAGTCAAAACCAAAGAACATTTTTATTCTTACTCTATTTGACCTCTCAGTCGTTTGGTCCTGTTGATTGTCTCTAGCTATTTGGAAACTATTTCCTTTCTTGCTTTTGTAATATTGGACTCTCCAGTTTTATCTTCTTCACTATATTCTTTGCTGGATTTATTTTTTCTTTCCAGTCACCTAGTAAGAGACTCTATTCTTGAGGCTTTGCTCTCCCCTGAGAGCAGTATTCTCCAAAGTAGTGTTAAACAGAATACTCTTCTTGTAATATTTCTTAGGGTGGTGAGGAGAAAAAAAAGAAAACCTCTTCTGGAGGGAAATGTTAGTGTATCCTCCTCTTGGAATTCATAATGTTTGCTGGAATATAAAAGCTCTGAGAAATCCATTAATAAAGAAGCCTATTCAATTTTGTTTAACTCAGTCTTGTTTAGTTTATTTGATCACAGGTTACTATTTTCATGGCTTACCTATTATGGTACAGAATAATATAGCAAAGCACACTAGTTTGGGAAATATTGCCCTGGGTATCTTAACTACTTTTAAGTGTTTGGCTAATATTTTATGCAGTTGGCTCGCAAGACTGTATCTCTTACTGAATGTCAGTTCTGTATATTTTTAAAAGTTTTTTCTTTTTTAGTTTTGTAGAGATAAGGTGTCGCTATGTTGCCCAGGCTGGTCTCAAACTCCTTGCTCCAAGTGATCTTCTTGCCTTGGGCTCACCAAATGCTGGGATTCCAGGTGTGTGCCACAGCACTTGGTGTGCCACTTCTGTATTTTGAGCTGTCTGTAACAACTGTCTTGGGCTGCTTGTGAATGTCTGTTCTTGGGGTTAATGAGGACTCTCTGAGCTGCTTAGTAGAAAGGGTAGTCTTTTAAACTTGGTCTCTGTCTTTTAAACTTAACAGTTTTTCAGGGATTTTTTGTTGTCGTTGTTGTTCTTTGTTTGTTTGAGACAGGGTCTTGCTTTGTCACCCAGGTTGGAGAGCAGTGGTGCGATGATAGCTTACTACAGCCTCAAACTCCTGGGATCAAGCGATCCTCCCACCTCTGCCTCCCAAGTAGCTGGGACTGTAGGTGCATTCCACCATGCTGGTCTAATTTTTAAGTTTTTGGTAGACATGAGGGTCTCATTATGTTGCCCAGGCTGGTCCCCAATTCCTGGCCTCAACTGATCCTCCTGCCTTGGCTTTCTAAAGTGCTGAGATTATAGGTGTGAGTCACCATACCTGGCCACTTAACAGTTTTAGGTCTGGAAAGTTATTGCAAAGATAGTACAGGGAGTTTCTATATACCCCACACCCAGTCTTCCCTATTATTAACATGTTACTTAAGTATGATGCATTTGTCACAATTAATGAACCAGTATTGATACCTTGTTATGAAAGTCCATACTTTATTCAGATTTCTTCAGTTTTCTCCTGCTGTCCTTCTTTAATTCCAGGGTCTCATCCAGGGTACTACGTTACATTTAGACGTTATGTCTCCTTAAGCTTCTTTTCAGTCTTTTCTTGTTTTTTAGACCTTTTCTTGTTTTTGATGATCTTGACAATTTTAAGGATTACTGATTAGGTGTTTTATAGAATGTCCCTCAATTGGGAATTGTCTGAGTCTTTTCTCAGGATTAGACTGTGATTATGGGTTTTGGGACAAAGACCACAGAAGTAAAGTACTAGTCTCAACACATCACATCATGGGTATGTTTTTCAAAATGATTTATCACTGCTGATGTTAACCTCGATCACCTGGCATGAGATAGTGCTTGTCAAGTTTCTCCACTACAAGGTACTCTTAAAAAAAAATCTGTTTCCATACTGTACACTTTGGAAGAAAGTATGTTCACCCTCACTTAATGAGTGGATAGTTATGTTTTTCCTCCTTAAGGGCAGAGTATCAACATAAACTATATGGAATTCTTCTGCACAGGAGATTTGTCTCTTCTCCCTCATTTATTAACTTAATAATTCACTTATCTCAGTATGGACTCAAGGATATTTATCTTATACTTTGGCTTATAATCCAATATTAGTTTATTTTTTGTTGCTCAAATTGTTCCAGATCTGGCCATTGGAGAGCTCCTTCATTAACTCCTGTATCCCCTTTTTACTTTTATAGTGCCAGAAAGTACAGTGAACTTCCACATACCCTACACCCAGTTTCATTGTGACATACCCTTTTCTTACTTTTTGGTACTTTCAGAAGCTCTAGGTCTATCTTATACATTTCCTACTCCAGTCCTAGAGTCATCCATTTCTCCAAGGAGCCCTGGTTCCTTTTATTGGAGAATGGTGTTGGAAACCAAGGTCTGCGGCTGGGCATGGTGGCTCACGCCTGTAGTCCCAACACTTTGGGAGGCCAAGGCGGTGGATTTCTTGAGGTCAGGAGTTCAAGACCACCCTGACTAACATGGTGCAACCCCATCTCTACTTAAAAATACAAAAATTGGGCCAGACGCGGTGGCCCATGCCTGTAATCCCAACACTTTGGGAGGCCGAGGCAGGCAGATCACAAGGTCAGGAGTTTGAGACCAGCCTAGCCAGCATAGTGTAACTCCGTCTCTACTAAAAATACAAAAAATTAGCCGGGTAGGGTGGCATGCACCTGTAGTCCCAGTTACTCAGGTGGCTGAGGCAGGACAGTTGCTTGAACCCGGCAGTTAGAGGTTGCAGTGAGCCGAGATTGCACCATTGCATTCCAACCTGGATAACAGCGAGA